GGGGTTTTTTTTTTTTTTTTTTTTTTTTTTTTTTTTTTATATATCCACTGTGTCCCACTTCAGTGACTGGGAATTAAAAACACAGTCACACTCTTATCTTACACCATGCACAAAAATCATCTCAAAATGTATTAAACATATAAATGTTAGACCTGAAACTGTAAAACTTCTACAGGAAAACAGGGGAAAAGCTACTTGATATTGGCCTTGGATGTGATGCCAAAAGCTAAGGCAAGAAAAGCAAAAATAGACAAATTGGACTGCATCAAACTAAATAGATTTAGAAAAGAAAACAATCAACAAAATGAAAAGGCAGCCTATGGACTGGGAGAAAATATTTGTAAACCATATATCTGATAAGGGCTTAGTATCCCAAATATGTAAGGAACTCACACAACTCAATAATAAAAACGAAAACAAAAACAAATAATGTGATTAAAAAATGGGGAAAAGACCTGAATAGATATTGTTCCAGAGAAGACATACAGATGGCCAACAGGTACGTGAAAAGGGGCTCAACATCACTAATTATCAGGAAAACCCAAATCAAAACCGCAATGAGCTATCACCTCGCACCTGTTAGGATGGCTCGTATCAGAAACACAAGATAGAGCAAGCATTGGAGAGGGTGTGAAGAAAAGACTGCCCTGGCACACTGTTGGGGGGAATGTAAATTAGTGCAGCCATCGTGGAAAACAGTAGGAAGAATCCACAAAAATTAAAAATAGAACTCCCATATGACCCAGTAACCCCTGTGCTGGGTATACACCCAAAGGAAATGAAATATTTGTGCTCCCATGTTCATTGGACTGTTAGTCACAATAATGAAGATATAGAAACAACCTAAGTGTCCACCGATGGATAAAGAAGTTGTCATATGTGTGTGTGTGTATACGTACATATATATGTATATACAATGGAACACTATTAAGCCTTGAAAAGAACATACTGATATTTGCAACAGCATGGATGAACCTGGAGGACATTATGCTAAGGGAAACAATCCAGATACAGAATGGAAANACAACACTGAGGGTTGCGATCCTGTTGCCGGTCCCCGGTACGGGCACGACACCGAGGGTTGTGATCCGGTTACCGGTCAGTAAAAAAAAAAGACAAAAAAAGGAAAAAAAAAAAAAAAGACTATAAGTCAATGAAAGTATTCTGTGAGAATTAATTGACTATGTGAAATATATAATAAGGAGTGTTTTATGTTTTGTTATTATTTGTAAATTGGATGCTATTATATGAGTAAAATTTATAACAACATTGTATATCTATATAACGTTACTATTAATTATACACACACAATTTTTTTGGGGGGGGAGGCAAGGAACCAGTTGTTAAACATTTACTAGGACATCACTGCCGTCTGCCGCTTTCATATATAATCTATCTTTAGGATGACTGTTTTATGAATCAAATCGAAACACATGGTTAGACAGATTTATTTTCTGTGTTGTGGAACTTATTTGTATGAAAATACATACTGACATAGAATTAAATCACGTTAGTTTTATATGTACAAGATTACCTTCACTGAAAAATTGTCATATGAAAGTAAAACACAATTCTATGTAAATCATATCTACAAGGGTACTTCCAAAAGTAAAAATAAAATTAAAAGACTATATAAATCTTTCCATGAACTTTTAAAAACACCCTTGTATAATGTGTTACCAGACTACTTGAATGAGTCCTGTCTCTAGATGATGTGCTACAGCAGAGAAATACCGATCAGCCTTACTTCTCACTTTAGGATCAAGCATCTCCAGGACAATCAGACCATTTTCACGTCTGAGAGTGGTCACCTGTTGGCACAGCCTCGGTCTCTGCTCTGCACCTGCGCTTGAGTCACTGTAGCCCTCCCGCCTGTTATCCTGCCTCCGGATATTCCATGTCCATTGTCTTTCCGCATCCCTACTGTGCACCCAAGTGTGAGGGAGAGGAAACCCGGGACAAGCCCAAGCAGGAGGCAACTGGGTTTAGAGTCAGTCCGAGTCAATAAAAATACGCCTTGCTGTGTGTCCCAGTACTTGGCAAAAATTGACTAGAGCAAAATGTTGGCATCTACGGTGTGTGGTTCACTGGAGTAAGATGAGCTTTAAACCGTATGAAATCTAGCTTATTGGTAGTAATAAAGTATCCTAGTTTGCAAGGAGTTGCTTTTTTTTTTTTTTTTTTTTTTTTTTA